ACACACACACACACACATATATATATATATATATATTCAGAGTTTTGTTCTCACAATTCTGAGATCATATCTCACAATTCTGACAGGAAATGTGCTTCCATTTTTGATTGTTTTATTAACAGTTTACAGGTAATTATAGAATCAATCAAATGCAATGAAATGGAATAATCCATCTTGTTCAAAGGACAAGTATTGTTTTGATGCCAGTGTACTTTACCTTGGTTACAAAAAGGCTCTCATTGTCGAGATAAACAAATTAGCAAACAAAAACCCACACATCTTCACCGACATCCATTTAACCTAAACATAGCCTAATTTGTCTTGTAAATGCTTTTTCAAAGAGCTTTCAAGAGGTGTAGGGCTAAGTGAACAAAGCCAAAAATAAAAAACAGATTGTCAAGAGTGTCTGCCAAGCTAACTTTGGCCATTGTCTACATGCAATTGTCTTCCTTGAAGAAAAGGAAAGTAAAATATAGGAAGGGATGGATAGCTTGTTATGTATTTGTTACTTTAAAACACCAACCATTAATATGGCAGCCATTAAAAAAAGAGATTTATGTCAATTTTACCAACAGAGCTGTGTATTTGGCAGAGAAGTACATTTCTATGGACAAGAAGTTCAGCCAACATGAAATAAAAGAACACAATAAAAAACAAATTATTGGAATCCCCAAGTGGTCAAAAAAAAAACTTCAGCATACAAATTCTAGCAGAAGAAGCTGTTGTCTATTTCAGAGCCGAGAGGACAAAGGATGATAAACAGACAAACCAGATGGGCAGTCTGAGAAGGACTCTAGCAGATGCAATAAAGAGAAAACTCCTATGGTGAAAGTCTCTGTTATTAGATTGAACACTTTATCAACAAAACCTTATTCCAACTGCTATAATGAGATTTGGACATTTCAGATTAAGAAAAAAAGAAATGTTTGGCACACTGCAGTGCAAACAAACTTATGCAAAGTATGACGTAAGAACACCATCATTTCAATTAAAGGGGTAATTCACAACTGGCAACATGGGATTTTAATAAAAGTTGGCTGTATGTGCAATAGAAACAATTTATTTATTTTTAATTTTTAACTGGTGCTACATTAATGGAGAAAAAAAGAGAAAAGGGCTGAAAAAGGTAGGAAAACTTCAACACCCATAATGCACTGGGCTCGAACAGACTATCCATGAGTGACGATACAAAAATCCAGAAGTATGATCTGTAGTCTTCACAAAAGCCACATATTACATTATTTGGCAGACTTTTGCTAACAAATAAACGGGATCTTGGTGCAGGTAACACGGAAAAACAATACACATTGTTAATTTTTTATTTATACAACCAACATTGTAACAATACAAAGCTGGTTGAAAATCAGCGAACTTGCCCTTTAAGATTAACTAATTTCTCTTGCTTTGTTTGCTTACAGTTAAATCTATTCTGATGAGGCCTGGTGTTTGCCCTTCAAAACACTTCAATGATTTATGGGGGAATCCTTTGAGTGGCATGTTTGAATTATACATTTACAGATATTTACAGTTCTCTCATGTTTTATCTTTTATTTATTCATTTATTTTTTTTAGTGCAGGTCAAGAAGAGTTGAGACTAAAAGATGTAGAGGAGGCATAATTTCCATCAATTCCTGTTCCTAAGTTACTCATTTGTACTGTATTTGAAATTCCTAAATAAAGTTTCTAACAGCACCCCTTCAGCAGCTTAAAGGAACAGTTCACCCAAAAATAGAAAATGAATGGGAAAAAATTTAAAAAATGATACTCTTACAATTATGTATTTATTATTTCTAAATAATAATTACTAAAGTATACATTTATAAAGTATTTATTTAACTGTAATTTATCTTATAGCATATAAAGTAATATTACAATTTTACAGTAACATATTGTTAAAAATATGTTTTCAAGTGTTTCCAGGTGACATTTCGCTGCATGACCCATCACATTTTATGATATTTTATTTAAATTGTATGCTTGTTCTTAGTTATGTTGTTAGCAATGCAAAGTGTTTAACCCACCATTATATCTTGTTATTTCTGCTGTAATTCACAAATATCATTTGCGAATGAGCATATTTTCACTTGGCATATAAAACCTCACACAAAATGTTAGATTTTGTTGCATGAACTGCTTTTATGCTGATTTTTGGAGCTTGACATCCTATATAATGCTATGTAAAGCAGCATCAACATTCTGCTAAATATCTCTTTTTTGGTTTCACATCATATATAGGGTTACACGGGTTTAGAACGACATGGGGGAAAGTAAACGAAGACAGTGAGTAAATGAGGACAAATGAGTTTTCATTTATGAGTGAACTATGTTTTAAATGTCTTTTTGAATGGAATGAACATATACAACCTTTCAGATACCCATCTAGATCTTCAACCACTAGGCTGACCGATATTCTCTAGGTTTCACTGTACAGAAAAGGGTTTTATGATATCTGTAGTGTAATCACTTTATACCACCAGGTATACCTGCCTTTACGAGCACTTCACTGATAAGATAACCACACACATTAAGCTGTTTCCATGTAAACATTCCCAAACAGTAGAAGACAAAGTTTTAACTGGATAATGTTATGTTGTTATAAAAAGCACACCAATTCAGAGGCCGTAAGCAAACAGGGCCCTCCTCATGTTTCCCTAATCATGTTCTCCTCAATGTCCAGGTTTGATTTTTTGCGCAAGACTGTGAACCCTTATGGTGTTAGGTGTTGGTCTAATTGACTTCAAGGGGCCCTAGACAGCTGCCTACCTTTGCCTAGCGCCGAGTCCGCCCATGCAGATCACCATTCGTGTCCGGGATGGGAGCCAGATTGCTCCATGTTCTCTTTTGCTTTGAGGGAGTGGTATGAACCAAAGCAAACGCAAACTAATCCGAACTCACTTTTCTCCCGTCTGTTGGGCTGACTGTTTCTCTTGTGCTATCATTACCATTACGCAGAATAATTACATCAGCTGCAGCCACTTCCAGGCATTGATCTGTAACTCGAATCAATCCTCTGGAGATACAAGGGGATGAAATGGTGATCTATGGTGGTGTGTGAGGGGAAAAACCTGACTTTCAGGCACCATAGGAGTTCCAGTCTGTAGAATAGTGGGACAGTTCCTGGTATAGCTGCATCTCTTCCTGCAAGCGCAGCTTTCTAAGTGCTCTAATGAGATAGTGGACAAGAAAAAAAAGTCCATGGGATGCTGCATGTGACAAACGGGAATATGAAGATGTGCGGCGTATGTGTAACGAGTTTATAATTAAAGACACGGCGATGTAAGCCCTCGAGGGACGACTCCTTCCGTCTGAGAGCCTCAATAAATTGACGAGAATCGACGGCGAATGTCTCGAGGCGTTGAAGACGCGCGCGCTCAGCGTCCTCAGGAGCTTTGACTGGAGTTTTCTCAAGTCTCGGAAACATCAGAAGGAAGTCTGACCACTATAACTTCCCACGCTTGAGCACATTAAAGAACGATTCGTTTTAAAGGGTAGCGCGCGCTCTCTCTTTCCCAGCGCGTTCTGCGAGCCTCGCGTGGGGTTAAATAGGCACAGGACGCTGAGTCGCCTCAGGCTGTGTCGACTGAGGGAAAGAAACGCGGCGACACAAGCGTCCTCAGGTAGGTTTACTACATCCATCCATATACAAATATAGGCATTTATGAGCTATGCGGATTCTTTTTTTTTTTTAAACATTTTTATCATAACACCCCTAACTTTATAAGCTTTTTCAGCGGAACTGTTTTCTTTATATACAAAGTGGGTTGTAAATTAGCAGATAATCAGTGCACTTCTATGGGATGTGATGCTTAGTATTTTAGTTTTGTAGTTTAACCAGTTAATTGATCTACAATACGAGTCAAAGTTTGGACATACACAACTGAATTTATGATTCCCATTCAGGAATCAGGATTTAGTTTATTGCACAAGCAACATTAATGATGTGATCATTTATATCGAATGTCTTGTTTATTTCTCAATACAACTCCAAGAAGACATAGCTACACGTGAAAACCATAGTACGAATATGGACTATAAAATCCATGTGCATCAGATTATTTGGTCTTGGAAGAATGTATTGAGTTCATATTGAGACTTTTAATTGTAGATGTGGGTATCTTTGCCCATGTGTGCGCACAGTTGAAGACATTGTTGAAACCTGTAACTGAGAGACACGTGTGAGCTTCTGGTGCTTTCTTTCTCAGGAGAAACTGAGGAGTTTCTGAGGAGCAGGAGACTTTCGTTTTTCGTTTGCTCTTCATGTAGTGTTATTGCTGTCAAGGAGAAATAGACCTGTGGACTAATATAAAATGTACCTACTTATCAATTTATAAAGCTGACGTTTTGACCGGGTTATTTTTAAATGAGTTGGAGCACGTTAGTGAAGGAAAATCAGCCAACAAGTGCTCAGCATACATGTGAGGTCATTCAGTGGTGTTTAAAAGCACCACAGCACTTAATGAAGAAAATGTGTGGAGAGATTACGGTTTGAATAGTTTTGATGACTTACTATTGCAGTAAAAACGAACGAGTAGGTGTGTCCATGCTGACTGGTAGTGAAAGTGTTAATAGCACTTTTTTTTTGTAAGGAATCGTAAAAGCCTTCAAAGTTTATTTTTAACATAAAGTGGACTTTTGCATCTTATAAACCCTGTCACTTCTTCACCAGACTGCGTGATCCAGGACTTGGGCAGTGCGGGACTTGCGCGCACTCTGGTTGCGGGAGCGATGCGCGCGCTGCGGGCTCCGGTTCTAGTAATGGGGCTCGTCATGTTAATCTGCACTACTGCACAAAGCGACGCCAGCGCGAACAAGGTCGAGAAAACGTTCAGACGGATAATGGACATCATGAGACTGGCGGAAAACAGCGTTGACGACGCGAGCGCGCAAAAGAAGGAGAGTGCGCCAAAGGACACTCATCGTCTCAAAACGGAAACCGGGGAAACAATTTTAAGTAAGCAGCGCATTAAATGCACAGAAAAAATGTAGGAATGTTAATATATTGCATAGTAAAACGTGGCAAGTGACATTAATTTGAAAATGAATTAGAAATTGAATTGAAAGAAGCACAAAACAATTTGAAGCCAAATGTTTCACAAAAAAAATTGGTTTTAAATGATAAAACGTAAAAATGTCTCATTCTGGTTGTGAAACGTTAGTGGAACATGTCCATTTTCCTACTGAGAAACTGACTCCATGCATCACCTTGGAACCATGATGATTAAAAGTCATTGCAAAAAATGATTTATAAAAGTGAAGCTAGTTCAGAGAAAAGCTCTTGCATCATTTGATGCAATGAAAGTGTGGCCAACTCTATATGCCTTCTTTTTCTTTGACCTATATTTAAGAGGGATGTGACTTACCCACTAGGGCACGAGCCAAAGTCTTAACTCTCAAAGCATTAGGTGAAATAGTTTTGCATTGCACCTGTTGTGTGCCGAGTCAGACATGTGGTATTGGTGGTCAGCGATTCCCAGTTAGGTCAGTAGTCTCTGGCCTACATAAGATTTTATGATATAAGACAGAAGCAGAAGCACTGTATAGTTATAATATTAGCGAGTGTGTGTTGGATACTAAGAATAAGTGGTCGTAATGTTTACAGAAAGCTTGTTTTAGGGTCTAAACCTCTTAGTCAGAGCATGTTCATTGCGGAGGAATGTTGAGCTGAGTGATTTGTCTGAGCTTCAGAATCATCCCTCTTGAAGGATCAGTGGATATCCAGGATTTGACCTTTGAATGTTTCTTTCTTTTCGCAGAAATCTTTCCCAGAGACCTCAGAAAGAAAGAGAAGGTTATCAAAATCTTAACAGGTGAGAGACTTTAGCGTTTTCGGTGACCTTGAAACCAAAATGGTGTTTGAGAATTTTAACCTGGCTGTTTTCCTTCCACCAGGTCCTCTTTATTTCAGTCCAAAATGCAAGAAGCACGTCTACAGGCTTTATCACAACACCAGAGACTGCACCATCCCTGCATGTGAGTACAGTCACGCATTCCCATCTCTTCAGACCCCACAAACTGGTCACATCTCTGCCCACATGCACCACAGACCCTCAACAAACGGTCTTTATATTCATGACAGTCTCATGTCGGCTAGGTGCCCCTGATTTACCCCTGCACATGGAGTTTTAACACAGAAACAGTATAGGCTACAAATTCAGTATATGCACTGCACTCCTTATAAATGCAGTCTGTGTAAATTATTACAAAAAAATTCTAGATTGGACTAGAATTTATGAAAAATGTCCAAAACTGGATATGACGCAAAGAAAGATATTTAATATTATGTAGGTGTTGTACATAAATACATCAAAACTGATTTATTTTGCAGATTCAGAGAGGACACATGCACTTAAAGCTTTTATGACTGAGAACACATTCCAGGATTAGATAACGTATCCAAGCCATTACAGATAAACCTGCGTGTCTTAGCAATTAGGATGTGATTTAAGCAGGTAAACAAACCTCTGCCCACATGCACCACAGACCCTCAACAAACGGTCTTTATATTCATGACAGTCTCATGTCGGCTAGGTGCCCCTGATTTACCCCTGCACATGGAGTTTTAACACAGAAACAGTATAGGCTACAAATTCAGGACTCATCCAGCTGATTATCCAACTCATCCAGCTTTACTCCTGTCCTCAGACTACAAAAGGTGCGCGCGACTCTTGACGCGACTGGCAGGGAGTCCGAGATGTCAAGAGGGTTAACTGTACCAGGTAAGACACTTTTTAAAACTTTTTTCTCCTCGAATATAGGCAATTCAATAAGAAATTGGAGAAGACCGGAAGAATGGGATATGCAGGAATCCCATGGCCCTAGAAAAGTCATTAAAATAAGATCGCAAAAATTAATGAAACAGTCTAAATTTCTAAATCACAAAATTTTCATAAATATAAATCAATACTATATATATA